GTTGATTTAGTTCATATTGTTTATAGAATATAGCTATAGCTACTTCACTTATGCTTTTTCTGGTAAATTGTGTAATCGAGAGAATGTTGTTATATTGTGCCTTTTTTTGATTCAAATATTGTTTGTTGAAATAGGAGCTTTTATTGTTTGTGTAGGTGCCTTTATAGTGGTGTTGTGGATCATTCTTAATAATATTATTTATCTGTTAATAGAGATGAATCTTATCCAGATAATTAATTCTAATGTTGTTTATCTGTTGGTGTGGGTAGGTCTCTTGCAGGTAATAAATATTAATATTGGGCACCATGTGGTCTTGTCTTCGGCTAAGTTGAACATGATTTTTTGAGTCAAAGTTACCTAAAAGTTAGTGATCATGGTGTATATTATCCCCAGTACCAAAGTTCCTTTTAGATACATTGATCATACCATTGTGTCGGCTAAGGTTTTGTTGATTAATAACTGGTTAGTTTATTAATTAAAATGATTTGGTTTTTGGTATCTTTGGTTATTCCAAGTTCGGATTGGGTTTTATTACTTAGTAGTATGTATTTAGAATATGTGTTTAGAACATCTATTTTTATATCTGTGGTTAAGAATTCATTAATTTTAATGTCTACAAGTATTTTTCTGAGTATTTGCACATGGTTTTCTACTGCTTTGGCAGTGGCTGATTTTTCTATAAGTTTATGCATTTCTAGTTTTTTAGCATGATTTATGCATATTATGATATTAGTGGATCCTTTATCTAGTTTTAATTCTATTGGTTTTTTATTTACTAGTGCAATAAGATAGAATCCTTTTGCTCCTTTAGATTTTTAGAGTTTTATTTGAGAAGTCTAATTTATTATATACAGCAGAGTTTATTTCTTGATTAATATTTTTTTTATTAAATGTATATATTTCTTTGTTATTACATTTATTCTTTAATTTATTAAACTCTCCTATATAGCTAGTGTATGTTTGTGAAGTTAAGTCACAAGTATAGGGCATGCCTTCTATGTAAAATATATATTTTCTAGATTGTTAGTAATTATTTCTAGTGTAGATATTTCCTTATAGTTATTTACACTGTTTTGGTAAGCATCCTTTGCCTTTTTAAATTCTTGAAAACTTTGAAAGTTTTTATATTCTTTGTTTTTATAGAGGTTGTTGGTTTCCATAGGTGATACATTTTTATAGCAATTTGTGATATTATGAGTAAATGATTTGCAGATTGTACAAGTAGGTGTTCTGGTTATAAATTTTCCTTCTTTGTCAAAATTCTTTTTAAAGATAGTTCCTATATTAGGATTCCATTGTCCTGGGTTAAATTTAGATTGTCTTGCTTGGTAAGATGTTTGTTTTTGTTTCATAAAGTTTCATGATTGTCTTCTTTGCTGTTGTTGTTTAAATTTGTTAAAAATGGTTTTTGATTTTTGACCAATTTCTGTTATAATCTGGTTTTGTTAGAATTGTGAAATACTTTATAGTTTATATTCAAATTGTGGTGGTAGATTATTTCTTCATTTTCTTCTTGGTTTCTTTTGGGTAAAAGTTTTTTTCTATTTCCCTTTCTTGCTATTGTTTTGGTTATTGTTATTTCTACGTCTTCTTTTCTCTTTGTTGTAGAAAGATCTGAAATTCTTAAAAGTTTCTTTGGTAGGGCATTCTCTAAAGAAGTGGCCTACTTTTCCACAATTGAAATATTTTGATTGACTAATATCAACTATTTGGTAATTATATTGTCACTGTTGATATTTTCTAGGTTTTTCAATATTGTAGAATTCTTTTTCTTGATGGTTGTTGTTCTGGTTTCTTTGTTTTCAAGGTTTCTTTTGAATATAATTAATATTCTTTTGTTGTTGTTGAGGGTTTTTACTTCTAAAATAAGTTCCTACTTCTGAGTCTTTATAGTACTTATATGTTCTATGTAATGTATCCCAAAATTTATATTCAGAGTTGATATTTGATTCGTATGATTTCATTTGACTCCAATAGTTTTCTGCTTGGTGTCTTCTAGATGGTAGAGTATCCATCATCAATAATTTTAAACCTGTTGCAAAATTTTGCTTGTAATTTGATATTTCATTTGCCTATTAAATTCATCTATGAATTCTTTATCTTCATGTGCATTTATTGCATATCATGGGTTAAATCTTAATTTTCTAAATACTCGTTGTGCTTCTAATATAAATTCTGAGGTAATATTTTGTGTGTCCATCCATAATCTGAATGATACTTGTGTTGACTTTATGTCTGTAGTGTCATCATAAAAGTCAAGAATATCTTGTCCTGTTTTCTTATTATTTTCTACATTTGTTTTTGTAAATTTGTCATTTAATTACTTTGGAAATCCAATAGGATTTAATATTACTGCATCAGCATTATTTACTACAGTAGCACTGGTATCATAAGGGCATTCCTATTTATATTGTGGAATTCTTTTTCCTCCATCAAAGTCACTATAAAAGTAGCAATTAAACAATGCTGCTTTTGCTTGGTATTTTCTATATAATTCTATTGTAAAGCATTGTATAGCTATTTTATTAATTACTAGTTTTATAAAGTATATGTTAAACATTCCAGTTGTTGTATTTTTTATTGATTCATCATTTGTTTTAAATCTTGTCTATTCTTTCTTAAAGTTTCTAGTAAAATATTCTGTTGCTAATAATTCTAATGGTATTTTTTCTTGTATTCTTTTCTCAAATTTTATACTCCATTTTAGCCAGTTTGTGCCATTGCATTTCTAGTTTCCTATTAGTTTATTAAAGTTTCAATTGGTTATATCGACAAATTCATCATTGTCTGCTATTTTATTTGTTTATTTTGTTTGCTAATTCATGTAGAGTTTTGTCAGTTATAGATTCAGGTTCTTTGATTCTCCAATGTAATCACAGTTTAACTTGTAGCCACTTTTTTTTTTAGTTCGAAGTTGTTGTATTTCACTGCTTCTTTGGTTAATTTTCTTTCTAAGTTTTTGAATTCTGTTTTCTATTATCAGTTCCTTTTCTTGTAGTATCTAAATTATTTGTTCAGTATTTACAATTTATTTCATAGTGTCATTTATGTTTAATATTGGTAGTATATTTGCTAATAGACAATATTGAATATAGTCTTCCTTTGCTTGGTTTGCAATTAATAGTCCTCTATATATTATGTCGTATCTGTTAAGAATATGTCTGTACTTTATATAGTTAAATATTTCTTCTCTTTTGTAGTTTGATATAATTATCTTTATAAACAGTTTGTTGAAATACTTTTTGTCTTGGTTTTGTTTTATTCTTACTATCTTTAATTTATCTTCACTAGATAGTGTTGGGTATCCAGGTGTGTTTGTATTAAAGTATTTTGTAAATGCTGTTTGATAATACTTTCTTACTTCTAATCTGTATTTTGATATTGGATATTTGAATGTCTACTGTTGAAATTCATAATTTGCTAATCTGGTTACTCCATATTGGGGTTGTCTTTGTTCTTGGCTTTGCATAAATATTTTACTTTAGTGTGTTTCTTTATGGTATCTAAATCTTGTTGGTATGCTTTTGCAATTGCTTTAATATACTCGTCTGATTCTCCTTTTCTTATTGAAAATACTAAATATGCAAATACTATGTCTGTACTAGTAGTTTTTCTTTGGTCAATAATTATTTTTGCTTTCTGGTAAATAGTTTCTTCTTGTAAGTTTAATTGTTGATATTTTGATTTAAGTATTTGTTTTTCCTGTTTTTCTAATTCTTTCAATATTTGATTTGTTGTTTTGAGTTCTGTACAAGGTTTAGATTTATTGTCTTTACAATATCTTGAATTTGGTATATTTTCAAAGTTGAATATATTTGGTAGGTTTATCATTAAACTACTTGTGTTGTTATTGGTGTTATAGTATTAATAACTGTTTCTCCTATTCGTATTTGACTATTAATTTAGTTCTTTGCTATATTAAGTTTTTCTTGAGTTTTCTATGTCTTGTCTAGATGATTACTCCTGCTACTAGTATTACTAGTATTATAGATACAATATTTTTGTCTATAATATTTTGGTTGTTAAAGTATTCTGGTGTTGTAGTTTCTGTAGTGAATACTGTCTGAGTAATGGTTGTTGATGTACTAGTTGGTGTTACAAATTGGGTTATAGTTGGTATAGTGAGTATTATGAAAGTGAATTGTTGTTGTCTTGCAACTATCCTTATTAAAAGTAATAATAAGATAAAAAGTTTCATTTATATCCAAATAAATAATTAATCCTTTGAGTGTTTGGTCCAAATGGGTTTTGTTGTAAATAATTTATTATTTCTTGTTGTTGGTTTTGGGGTAAATTTGCTATTTGTTGTGGTATCAAATTATATAGATGGTGTTGGTTTGTTTGGTAGTCTTGGTTTGAAAAGTTTATTTGTTTTTTTGGATTTCTTCCTTTTTTTTTATTTCTTCATGTAAAACACATTTAATAGTAGATATCTTGGTAATAAACGTCTCTGTCTATTTCTTTTTGAAAGTCTACTATGAAGGGTATTTCTTCTAATAAGATTTGAAATAGATATTGAGATATTGTGCTTGGTAATGGTTTCTGTAGTGCTTTACTTGGTCCTCTTTTTCTGTTTCTTTGTTGTTTCTTTTTATAACAAGTAAAGTATAATATTGTTGAGAAAATTAAAGATATTAATAAGAGTATTCCAATAATTATTACTATAATATAAATAGTTGTGGTGGTATCTGGTTGAATTGGTGTTGGTGTTGGGTTTGTCATTTATTTCTAACAATAGCAGCCTGAGTTTTGGTCTGCGTAATACCCAAGTGTTGAGTGTTGTTTATATAGTCATTTCTTATCTTGTTATTGTTTACAACAAATAATAATAATAGTAAGAATGCAAAATACAATAGCAAATAATAATATTATAAGTAATGTTGATACAGGTGGCTCAAATATAGAATTGGTGCAGGTTGATGTTTCAGACATTAAGGTTGGAGTTATTGTTTGGTCTGTTGCCATTAAATTGGTAAGGTATCAAAATAGCTAATAGTACAATGACTATTCTTGATATTGCAATTAGAATTAGAATAATAATTGATATTGTGATTTGTATGTTTTGTGGTTCAATAAGAAGTATTGCTATCAGTCCAGCTGCGAGTATGATTGCAATTAAAGTTACAATTAATATTTGTTTGTTTGGGTTCATAAACAATAGATATCAGAGTATAATAGGTTAGTTCCAAGTGGAATATCTGTCTTTAGATCCTGATTGTCCTGATTGATTCGGGGTGTTTACTTATGCAAATTTAGCTTTCTTTCTGGGTTTAGAATGTAATGGTACTCCAGTTTTTACTACAGGAAATTGTTGTTGTCGTGATTGTAATTGGGGTTGTGTTAATTGAGAGCTAATTGTTGGATTTGTTGTGGGGTTAGAGTATTGTTTGGTGGTTGTATAAATAAGTGTGCATTGTTGTACGCATTGCTAAATTGACTTTTATATTGTTTCTTTTTCTTTTATACATGTTTAAAGCAAATAATAAGAGTTGTAATTATTGTTGTGAATACTGTCAATAATGTTCCTAATACTTCAATAACAGTAACTAGGGTATTGTTTGAATTGTTTGTTGGTATTGGTATTATTATAACAATAGTTGGTTGCGTATTTGAGAATATAGTTTGGCTTATTTGGCTTAATCATGTAAGGCTTAGAGTTGTGATTGTAGTTGGTGTTTGCATGATTGGGATGGAAATAATAATTTGTGTGTGAGTTTGTCTTAAATATAATATGAGTATTGTTAAGATAAATAATTTTGATATGTGAATATTTATGTAAAATAGTTTCACTTGTATTGTTTCCAATAATATAGTATTATCGTAGGTGATCAGTCTAAGAGTTTTACTGTTAAGTAAATTAGTCTCTTTATTCACTAATTTCTCTTCATTGTTGGGATTCAATCCAGTAAGTCTATTACTTGACAAGTTACTTAATTATACAATAGATATTTGATAAATAGTTTATTTGATATAAAAGTTTCTTTATTAATAAAATATGATATCATTATACAAGAGTAGTTTTAATTCAATATTTTGAGCTTCAATAAATAAGATATTCAGCAATTAATGCTGTTATCAATACGAGGAGTGTTTTTAAAATCATTAAAAATATTCAAAAATAACTAATAATAATAAATCGCTATATGTTCCTAGATTTTCAAATGAATATACGATAGTAGTCATAAATTGACTTTATACGAAATATTTTACTATCAAAGTATTTATAAAGGTTTGTTTAGAGATTAAATCGAAAGTTAAATAAATTTTATATGCATGAAGTTTGCTAAGATAAAATTTTGATATTTAAATACATTTTGAATAATGCGAATCAATACAATATTAAATTTTAAATTGTTAAACTATATTATACTATCGTGTAGTTTATTTACTTTTTTTTTTTTTTTTTTTAATTGTTAAAGACTGATGTCATGGTTGCTTAACACTTTATTGTATTTTTTGTATATTTATATTGAGACATTTTTTGGTATATTAATGAATATACAACTAGTTACATATACAACTTTTGATTGCCTATTTAAGTAGTCTGCCTAAAGGTTCTATACTAGTTGTCATACCTGCAATCTACTAGGAGATTGCCTATTTAAACTCTCTGATTTTCTGTATCCACTTAGCAGTTAGCACCTAAGTTCCCATACAGCAAGTGCCGTCTAACTTGACATGTGGTCTCCCTTTCTGTGCTAGGAACCCAGGCCATACCCTTTTTAAGGGGTACGTCACTCAGTAGCAAGGCTCAGAGTGCCTCTCTGTCAACAGCCTACCTACTCTACAGTCCTATTAACAGGCCTATGCCCTTGCAAAGTTCACCCAAACCCTGGTACCTCTTCACAGCATATCCCCAGTACTTTGGTTCCCCTCCATTTGGTTCCAGACTTCCAATCTAGATGGCCTAGAAGGACTGTGACCTGTCCTTGGTTCATCAGTACTGCTATGATCTTTTCCTCCGGTTAGCCCGGTGGCCTGGTTGGTGGACTGGCTTTACTACACACCGATCATGCCCTGTCTAGTTCTTTCACTTCAGTTTTCTTTTTCTTGGGTCTAGTCTTTACAGTAGTACCATTAAAGATCTGTACTACCTCTTTACTTGGGTCTTCCCAAATAGGCTTCTGTCTTCCCAATTCTACAGATTTACATGATCTAGGAACTTATCTAGTGTTTGTACCGCCTATTAACGGTTTGCATTCCTCTATGTAACCCAGAGTTGCACAGATGCACCAAACCTGCTAGTCTTGCTGGTGCGACTATAGTTACAGGTATCCTATCCCAACTGATTGATGAAAAATGGTTGCTATAACACAAGTAATTATTTAAATTTTCCATCCTCGGTGGGTTTTGAACTCTTGACCTGCCACTTGGTGAGGGTGACAACCTAACCACTATACTAGATCGCCACACCTCTTTAGTTTATTTTTTTAATTTCAAAAGTATAATAGTTAAGTATAATAAGTTTGTTATCATTAATTGTCTTTAGATAAGTATTCTTTCTTTTTATTTCTTGGTACTCACATTATGTTGCTTGGTGTTAATCTTTAATGATTTTTGTTTGTTTCATGCTTAGCGATCTATTTGTTTTATTTCAGATTATTTTTTGATACAATATATTCTTATTTATAAATTGATTTTCTGAGAATTTCATTTGTGTTTTCCTATACATCGAAGATGCTTGTCGAGCTGTATGCAATTTTTCTAATTTATAAAACAATCATGTACGTATATATATATAAATTAGTGTGAAATTAAACTATCGTATACACCTTAGAAAGGTCTAAATGTATGTATTTATAAAGGATCAATATTTAATCTTACTGAGAATTTGTAAAGTCTTCTGTGAACATAATTTTATAACAATGAAATACCAAACTTTGAAACTGTTTCTAATCATTCTTCTTTCAAGTTTGTTAATATTGACTATTGTTGATGTCAATAATCATAAACACAAAACTTGCATAGTTGTTAAAACTAGTTCTCACAACGATGAACATAAAACTTGCACATTTACACAAACCAGCTCTCAAACAGTAACTATATCAACCTGTGTATCTAATCTAGCTTATGAAACTTCTGCTTATAAGGGTTCTGATAAAATTTCTGCTTGTGTCACTCAAGCTTATAAAAATTACACTTATAAAATACCTGCTTATGAAACATCTGCTTATGAAACTCAAAACAATCACATTAGCCATTACTATAATAATGATCGAAGAGTTAAGCATAATAATGATCGAAGAGTTAAACATAAAAATAATTGCAAAAAAACAATAACTATCACTTTTACACCTACAACTACTTTGTGCTTTACACCAACCCTGACATGTTGTCAGTCATCCAGTAGCCTAGGATGGCAAAACGTATATTATGCAATAACTAATAATGTTGATACAATCTTTTCTTTTAATATTACTAATGCACAAGGTTGTTGTAAAAACTGTTTAAATGATTTAGATTGTATTCAGTGAACATTTCATGGTAGTATATGTATTAATAATAAAAATAAACCCAATTCAGCCAGTATTTGTAGTAACTCTATATTTAATGATTCTGGTAATGTTGATGAGACCAGCAGAATTATTTGTTGTAATGATGATAGTAATTGTATTTAACCAACATAATGATAAATTTTATAGAATCAATAATTTCAAATTAGAGTTTCAAAATTTTTTTAATAGAGATTTTAGAATTTCCCATATCCAAATAGTAATAAATGCATGATTTTGCAAGTATATTGATTTATTTTTTTTTTTTTTTTGGTTTTAAAAGGTGAGGCCTTGCTCATATCTTTATTAAATAATTTATATAAGTAAA